AGGATAGCCAAAACAACCCTGTACAATAAAGGAATGTTTGGAGGCCTCACCAATCTTGACATCATACTCTATTATAGAGTTATGGTCCTGAAAACAGCTTGGTATTGGCACAAAAATAGACAGGTAGACCAATGGAATTGAATTGAAAACTCTGATATGGACTCACACACCTATGAACACCTGATTTTTGACAAAGAACCTGGAATTATAAAACAGAAAAAAGAAAGCATCTTCAACAAATTGTGCCAGAGTAACTGGACGCTGGTATGTAGAAGACTGCAGATAGATACATATCTATCACCATGCACAAAATGTAAGTCCAAATGGATCCAAGAACTCAACATAAATCCAGCCACACTGAACCTCTTAGAAGACAAAGTAGGTGGTAAGGTGGTACCTTCAAATGAATTGGTACAGGAGACTGCTTCCTGAACACAGTACCAGTAGCACAGACACTGAGATCTATAATTAATAAATGGGACCTCCTGAAACTGAGAAGCTCTGTAAGGCAAAGGACACAATCAATAAGACAAAATTGCAACCCACAGAATGGGAAAAGATCTTCACCAACCCCACATCTGACAGAGGGCTTATCTCCAAAATTTACAAAGAAGTAGTCACCAAAACACCAAATAATCCAATCAAAAAGTGTGGTACATAACTAGAGAATTCTCAATAGAAGAGTCTAAAATGGCTGAAAGACACATAAGAATGTGCTCAACATTCTTCATCATTAGGGAAAGGAAAATCAAAACATCTCTGAGATACCATCTTACTCCTTTCAGAATGGCTAAAATAAAAAACACCAATGGCAGTTTATGCTGGAGAGGATGTGGAGAAAGGGGAACACTCCTCCACTACTGGTGGGGGTGCAAACTTGTACAGCCACTTTGGAACTTAGTATGGCAATTCCTCAGGGAAATCAGAGTCTATTGAAAGATCCATCAATTCCACTCTTAGGCATATACCCAAAAGATGCACTTTCATACAAGGACATCTGTCCATCCATGTTCATAGCAGCATTATTTTTTTATTTATTTTTAAGTTTAAATTTAGATTAGAAACAAGGTTGCTTCACAAGTCAGTTCCAGGTCCCTCTCCCTTTCCCTCCCCTCCACCGGTGCCCTCCCCCTAACCCCCCCTATTATCCCCTCATTTCCCCAGGGAGGGTGAGGCCCTCCATGGGGATGTCCATAGTCTGTCATTTCATCCAGGGCAGGGCCTAGACCCTCCCCCAAGAGTTCAGGGTGAGAGTGCATCTCACATTGTTGGATGGGAGTCCAAAGTCCGTGTGTATACTCGGGATGAGTACTGATCTACTGCCTACGGCTCAATAGATTACCTAGGCCTCCTCACTGACACCCACATTCAGTGGGTCTTGATCAGTCCCATGCTGGATTCCCAGGTTGATGCCTGGGATTCAAGAATTAACCTTTGTCAGGTCAGCTGTTTCTGGGGGGGTAAAGCAGCCTAGTCTTAATCCCTTTGGTCATCAGTCCTCCTTCTCTGTTACTGGCTTTCTTGAGTTCAGCTCAGTGCTTAGCCATGGGAGTGTGCCTCTTCTTCCATCAGCCACTGAATGAAGGTTCTGTTTCCCAGACTCTCTGGCCATGGGATTGTAGGCTGGCACTCCCCAGATCCATGTCTAAAATCCATATATGAGTACATGCCATGTTTCTCTTTTTGTGACCGTGTTACCTCACTCAGGATGGTTTCTTCTAGTGTCATCCATTTGCCTGCAAATCTCAGGATTCCATTGTTTTTTTCTGCTGAATAGTACTCCATTGTGTAAATGTACCACATTTTCTCTATCCACTCTTCGGTTGAGGGGCATCTAGGTTGCTTCCAAGTTCTGGCTATTACAAATAATGCTGCTATGAACATAGTGGAATGGACATCCTTGTTGTATGAATGGGCATCTTTCGCATATATGCCTAAGAGTGGAGTTGCTGGGTCTTGTGGTAGGTTTATTCCCATTTTTCTGAGGAATCTCCATACTGATTTCCAAAGTGGCTGAACAAGTTGGCACTCCACCAGCAATGGAGGAGTGTTCCCCTTTCACCACATCCTCTCCAGCATAAATTGTTGTTGGTGTTTTTGATTTTAGCCATTCTGACAAGAGTGAGATGGTATCTCAGAGTTGTTTTGATTTGTATTTCCCGGATGGCTAAGGATGTTGAGCACTTTCTCAAGTGCCTCTCAGCCATTTTAGACTCCTCTATTGAAAATTCTCTATTTAGTTCTGCAGCCCACTTTTTAATTGGGTCCTTTGATGTTTTGGAGACTTGCTTCTTGAGTTCTTTGTAAATTTTGGAGATCAACCCTCTGTCAGATGTGGGATTAGTGAATATTTTCCATTCTGTGGGCTGCCTTTTTGTCTTGCTGACTGTGTCCTTTGCCTTACAGAAGCTTCTCAGTTTCAGGAGGTCCCATTTATTAATTGTTGATCTCACTGTCTGTGCTAGTGGTGTTATGTTCAGGAAGCTGTCTCCTGTACCAATTCGTTCAAGGGTACTACCCACTTTCTCTCCTAAGAGGTTCAGTGTGGCTGGATTTATGTTGAGGTCTTTGATCCATTTGGACTTAAGTTTTGTGCATGGCGATAAACATGGATCGATCCGCATTCTTCTACATGCCAGCCTCCAGTATAGCAGCATTAATTGTAATAGCTAGAGCCTGGAAGCAATGTAGATGTCCCTCAACTGAAGAATGGATGGAGAAAATGTGGTGCATTTACACAATGGAGTACTACTCAGCAGAAAAAAACAACAACACAGTCTTGAAATTTGCTGGCAAATGGATGGCACTAGAAGAAACCATCCTGAGTGAGGTAACTCAGTCACAAAAAACAAACATGGTTTGTACTCACTCATATATGGATTTTAGACATAGAGGAAAGGGTTACCAACCTACAGTCCCCACTGCCAGATAAGCTAAGAAATAAGGAGGGCCCTAAAAGCGACATACATGGTCTCCCAGAGAAGGAGAATGGTACAAGATCTCTTGAGCTAATTGGGAGCATGGGGTGAGGGGAGGGGGAGTTAGGAGAAAGAGAGAGGTGAAGAGGAGGGGAGAGGAAGACATGAGAGAACAGGAAGAGCGAGTCAGGAGAAGAATAGAGGAGAGCAAGAAAAGAGATACCATAATACAGGGAGTCAATATAGGTTTAAAGAGAAATCTGGCACTAGGGAAATGTGCAGAGATCTACAAGGTTGATCTCAACTAAAAATCTAAGCAATAGTGGAGGGACTACCTTAAATACCCTTCTCCAATAATGAGACTGATGACTACCTTATATGCCATCCTAGAGCCTTCATACAGTAGCTGATGTAATCAGAGACAGATACCACAGCCAAACACTGACCTGAACTCTGGATTGCAGGTGTAGAGAGGGAGAAGTGGTGAGCAAAGAGATCAAGACCAGGCTGAAGAAACCCACAGAAACAGCTGGCCTGAACAAGGGGGAGCTCATGGACCCCAGACTGATGGCTGGGAAACCAGCATAGGACTGTCCCAGACTCCCTGAACGTGGATGTCAGTTTGGAGGTCTTGTCAATCTGTGGGGCCTCTGGTAGTGGATCAGTATTTATTCCTAGAACATGAATGGGCTTTTGGAGCCCACTCCACACACAGGGACACTCTCTCAGCCTAGACACACGGGAGAGGGCCTGGGCCCTGCTTCAACTGTTGTGAGACTTTGAAGATGCCCCCATGGAAGGCTTCACCCTCCCTGAGCAACAGAAAGAGGATGGGATAGGGGGTTGGTTAGGGGCAGGGGAGGAAGTGAGGAGGGGAGGGAGAGGGAACTGGGATTTGCAGGTAAAACAAGCTTGTTTCTAATTTTTTTTTAAAAAAGAGTCTGCCATCCTTAACACCTGGACCAGCTTAGATGTGCAAAGCAAGAATGGAGGCCCAGGGTCAGAGAGGAGACTGGTATCTCCCAGACAGATGGGAAGTGTACTCAGAACCTCCAGGAAGGAGGACATCATGAGGGACAAAGGAGAGGAGATACAGGTTTATTCCATATGGTAATGGAATGTTCAGGGTTGAATTTGTTCCTGAACAAGGAGCATAATAAAACTCCTATTAAAGGAAGGGTAGCCCTGGAATTTGATCATCTTGTTCCTGAGACATCTTTCTTAATCTCTTGCCCCAGATCTTGGTTAACCTTATTGCTGAATGTCTTTCCTAGTTAACATCAGAACAAACTGTAATAGAGGGAGAAGTATGTGTCGATTTTGGAATTCCTTTAGAGCTAGACAATGGGTTGATTCTTATTTTGTGACAGCACACCTACTGACAGCATGGGTACATACCCCAGATGAGTGAGGGCAACTTAGTAATCTTCCCATTCCAGCTATCAGCCCACTTCTTCAACTCTGGTTTCTATAGCATGACCCCCTCTCTGAGTGTTACTGGTATTAACCATGGACTGCTTGCCATGGTTCTGGATGAGGATAACAATCCTGTTCTCATAATGAAGAAAAAGCAAAAGCCAACTTGATAGCATAGGAAGACACATGTTGGGGAGAAAACGTGCAAACTCCAATGCAGACACCAATAAGGGCATGACCAAGTAGAGAGGGAACCTCATCAGGGTGAGTTTCCATTAAGGCTGGCCGTAGTGCAGCATGCAGACAACCCAACATGAATGAATGTAGTTAGAACCTGATGTCCAATATGAAACAAGGAAACCACGGTGACCAGGCTTGGTACAAGAACATGGTTTTCTGGATTGAACTGAAGGAAAGGCACCTTTCAGCTAGCTGCAAGTCTCTAGGTAGCCCTGGGGCAAAGCTGTTAGCCAGAATCTCTTGTCTTCTGTTAAAGTTCCTGCAAACCTCACCTTGGGGCCAACATTGAACAGTGATCATGTCTCTTCCTTGAGCATTATACATTATGCATTGTATAAGTTATTGTTGACCATGACCTAGTGCCTGGGTTAGCTGTCATTAATCATTAGATATCATTATTTAGCTGCCATTATTCTTATTTTACAGGCAAGGAAATCTGCTGCCAGAGACATCTGATTTGCAAGACTCCCACAGTTGGGAAAGCCCTAAACTAAGATTTAGGCTTGCTTGACACCACTGGAAACTCCTTCCCTTGGCAGGCAGATCATTCTTATTTGTAAACAATATTTAACAAGCTAGGAGCAAGCTGGGTCTGGGACTATAGCTCTAGAGGGTTATTATCACTTAAGGGCTTCTTTCCTAACTGTTCACAGGAAATGGAGTTTGAACAGTGAATGAAAATGAAGACATGAACGCTCCTAGGTATGGCTGAGGAGAAGGTTTTTATTGTAGATATGAAGGAGAGCACAGGCACAGGTGTCTGGAGGAGTCCAGACTGATCATGGCCAGCAGCATAGACTGAGCCACAGGACGGGGGTAGAGAGGAGAGCAGCAGAGGAAGAGAAGGGAGGGCAAACAAAGACAGGTCCAGGAGTGGAGCCAAGAACAGAGCCGACAGAACCAGGAGAGCACACAGCCACAATGCTTGGAGTTACATAGGAAAGAGAAACTGGGGGTAGGGAAGTAAAGCTCAGAGGACAGACAGGTTTTGGGTAGGCGCCAGGTGCTTGAGATGCTGAGAGAGACTGGGGGCCAGAACCCACTTTGCTATGTTTCCTTCTCTCTTTGAAAACCATTTATTCTTTGACAGCCTTATAAATGTATACAGTGTGTCTTGATCATATCCATTCATTTCTTTATTTTTTAGAAAGCTTGTTACTGATTCTTTGTGGATTTCACGTCATGCATCCTGATCCCATTCGTCTCCCTGTCCCTTTGTACCCACCCTCTGCCCTTGCAGCCTCCCCCCAATAAAATATAAAAGTCCCAAAACAAAAACAAACAAATAAAACCAAAACCAAAAAACAAAGCAAAATTCTTGGCGTGGAAGCTGTTTGTGTATCCCAGTGAGTCACACAGTATATCCTTTAGTCCGTACATCCTTACTTGTGTTTATTGCAATGAGTCATTGTTCTGGTTGGAGGGTTCTGGCTTCTGCTATCATGTCAATACTGGGTGCTTACTGGGACTCCCCTTGGATATCATGTTGTTGTCCTATGTCGTGGAGATCCTGCAGCTTTGGATCTGCAGGTCTGGCCCCTTCCCGTGCTCCATCAGTCCATAGATAAGCTGGATGTTGGGTGTGCTGGTTCTGGGCCTGAGTGGTACCTGGGTTGATCAGCCTGCCAGCTCTCCCTCATTGTCACCTACAGATCTTTCTCTCTCCCCAGCACATAGACTGTTCTTTCCCTCTCTCCCTCCCATTTCCCACCCTGTACTCACTCACCATAATGGTGCCCGACCACAGCAGCTCATGGGTGATGCTGCCCACCCAGGCCAAGTGGTCTGGGATGAAGCTGTGACTATTTTGATATATTAATAGGCATGCCAGTTAGCCGTCTGCCCCAGGTTTCTTGGAAACCTAACAAACCTCCGATGAATGATTTAAAAGAATGATGTAGGGGCTGAAGAGATTGCTAAGATTTGCTACTCTTGTGAGAGGACCAGAGTTTGAGTTCCAGCACAGCATAAGGCAATTTGCAACCACAGAATGCTCTAGCTCCAGGGATTTCAATACCTTCTTTGGACTTCCATGGGCACTGGAATAGTCACACACACACACACACACACACACACACACACACACACACACACACGAGAGAGAGAGAGAGAGAGAGATAATGAAAATAAAACGAATCTTAGAAAATGAAAAATGATGTAATGTTTTCCATAGCTTGTAAAATATTCAGGCTTTACCAATAAAAAAATAAAGTATGATGATGATAGCATTTGAATCTAATATGTATTTAAAGGATTTCTAAAGATGGCGCTGAAAATAAGTATGTGATTGTATTTAGCTACCCAGAAGCCATCTAGTAGACCAGTAGGTATGTCCTACTATCACTTTAAAAGCTATTATTTTCCTTTAACATAAAAAAGGGGTGTTGGGGATGCAACCCAAGATAAGGCCTTTGTGTATTCAAGACAAGCTTTGTGTGACAGAGTTACTCCCTAGCCATTGAATTTAAATACAGTGTCTCCTTACATAGTTCAGACTGACATTGAACTCACAGTGTAGCCCAGGCTAACCTCAACTCCCTATCTTCTGAGCTTACTTTTCCAAGAGCTGTTTGTTGTTTGTTTTTTTTGTTGTTGTTGTTTTTTGTTTTTTTCAGGCAAGCACTGCCATACTTGGCTCCCTTTAACTTTTTTTAAATGAGAACGTTGTTTGTGGGGTTATTTTGTTTTTTCTTTTTTTTGTAACTTGGAGCTTTGGAGGATTATGCATTTACTTAAGAGGTTTACATTCTGGTTAAGGTCACTAACTATATTCCAAACAGTAGACGTTCATCTTTTGAGGAGTTTCTAAGGGATTTTCATCAATACTCATTCACTCATTCATTTTTTTATCTTGGCTGGGAAAGGGGTTGGGGAATTAGGAATACATCAGGATCACTATTATTTTCAAAGTATTTTTGGTTTTCCTAGATAGCTTCAGCTGTCAATTTGATACAACCCAGAGTTATCTGAGGGAGTCTCAACTGGGGGATTGCCTCAGTCAGATTGACCTCTGGGCATGCCCATGGGGGGTAATTTCTTGAATGCCAATTGATGTAGGAGGGCCCAGCCTACTGTGGTCAGTATCACTTCAGGGCTGGTAGTCTTGGAGTAAATAAAAAAGTTGGATAAACACATGCCTGAAGAAGCAAGCTAGCAAGCAGTGTTCCCCTGTGGATTTCTGCCTCAAATTCCTGTCTTGCATTCCCTCAGTGATAGAGGTTACCAGGAAGTGTAAGCCAAATAAGCCCTTCCCTCCTCAAGTTAGTTTTGGTAATGGTGTTTTTCACAGCATCAGAAAGCAAAACATGGCCCTGGTTAATAAAATATAATCTTCCCGCACATAGTGGTATGCAAAAGATTTTCTCTGAGATTGGGGTAATGTGATTTTGTTGAAAGAGTTACAATAAACATGTGTGTGCCTTAGTTTTCTTTAGGTGCTAGAACAAGTAACTATACATTTGGGGGCTAAAACAGACTTATTATTTTACAATTCTGGAATTTAAAAAATTTGGGCACCTATAAAGCCCAAATCAAACCTTGGCAGGGTTGTGATCCATTTTTTTTTTTTTTTGGAGTTTGAAGGAAGACCTATTTCTTGCCTTTTCCACCTCCTAGGCTAACCACATTTTTTGGTTTGTGTTGCCTTTCTCATTTTTCAGTGAAAGTTATTTAGCATCTCTCTCACTGTTCCCCATGGCCACATCTTCCTCTGACTTTCTACCATGGTCCCCCTCTTCCACTTTTAAGGACCCTGTGATCACCCAGATCTTGCAATCACCCACATGATCCAAGGTTTATCCCAGGAAATGAAAATCACCACAAGATTTTAAGACTGTTTGCAGAGTCCCTTCTGTTTATGGTGGCATCCCACAATCTAGGGGCTGGAGTATCTTTGGGATCACTATTCTCCCTACTACACTTGATATGGTGAGTGGTAGGCGGTAAGAGAATAATTTATGGAGAGGGAAATCCATAACATGAGAAGGTTTTCAGGTAATGCGGTTTAGCTTCCTCTTAGCATTTAGCTTGCTCTCTCTAGTGAGTGCCTGTGGGTATTTCTGGATATCCCCCTTCTTAACTTTTCACACACCATTTCTAAAACCGAAGGCCCACGGGGAACACAGGCTGTTCTTGGGGTTGCTCATTGATGAGGGAAGGGGCACAACATTCAATAGGGAATTACTCTGTGGTGGGTCATTCCTGTAGGTGATTTTCCTGCTTGGTCTTAATGAACTGATGGACTGGGTACCTTTGCTCTCATTCTTCAGATGAGAAGAAGAAAGCTAGTGTTAAATAAGCTAACAAGGTTTCAGAAGGTCAGCAAATGGGAGAGCTGTGATTCAAACTTCACTTTATCTGATTTAGAATGTGCTTCTTCCCAAACTTTCTTATGTACTGTTCCTTAAAGGCCCAAGGCCCTCCTCACAAGTTCAAGCAGAAACTTAATTTTAACCCTGGTTCCTTTTCCTTTGTGCTGTACTAATGGCATGATGGGAAGGGTTCGGATTACCAGTGTAGAAAAGGCTATGGTATGATGAAGGAAGTGCACCAAACTGGAGTACACTTCAATTGGATACCTAAAAATAGTCTTTAACTCAGGAGCTTACAGTTTCTGAGGCTATGTGGACATTTTTCTTATTTTTGAAGCCTGTTTATTTCTAAATTTCTGAACGTTTAAAAAATTTTTTTAAATCATTCTCTGTATTTGTTACTAATTGCAACTAGAATCAAGTCTGGCTTGGTGGATATATAGCAAACCAAAGGGCTTGAGGAGTGAATGTCTAGGCATTGGGTAGAAGCTGCAAAAATACCCTCGAGGGTCCCACAGCTCGGCTGAAATCAGTTTGACAAGGCTACTAATTTACATGAGCTCAAAGCTGAAACCTCTGCTTCTCAGATGTGTCCATACTTTTGTTAGTGAAGGGATAATAGGCGAGTCTACAGGGCAAGGAGAACGGTGACACTATGTGCACTCGCTTGCCACAGAGAAGTGTGTGCACGCATGCATGTGTGTGCTGAGGTTTATTGCATTTTTTCTTTTCTATTTCCTTTCTTTCTTCCCCTGGGTGCCATTTCATGCTCAATGCACATGACAGGAGCAAATAAAAATAAAGAGTGCCACAAGCATGCCTGGGATTCATTAACTCTGGAGGTTAGTCCCGGTTCCTTGGGTAGGCAGATTCACCCTCTCTGAGGTTATTAGGAAGTCCTCACCACATACACAGTTATAGAACTTCTGAGCCCAGTTTCTCCTCTGAGCCCATGAACTCTCCCCTCTGTACCCATGAACGACACAGGTAGGTTTGGAAAGCTCAGCATCGTAAGTGTCATAGCTCAGCCCACAGCGGGTGGGAAGGAGAGTCACTCCAGGAGACAGGGTATACAGAGTGAAAGAAAGTCCAGTGGACAACAGAAGGAAATAACATAAAACCATGACGTGTCAGTCCAGACACCCCATGTGCTGGGATGATTGACAGAAATCTGGCAGGACTCTGCCTTCAATGTGCACCATACAGCACTGCTGAGCACGCCAAGAAGAGCGAGACGAGGCAGTAAGGCTATGCCAAGCCAGGCCTTGGTGCAGCCTGAATCTCATTCTCTGAACTACATTTTCCCAGCCAGTAATTCTGAGATTTCTACCCAAGTCTTTTCCTTATGAAATCAGCAGTAAATGAAACTTGGGCTCAGCTTGCCTCACGAAACAGTCACAAATTCTTTGATACATGTTCTCACTGTAATGAGTTCTATGGTTGTTTTGCCTCATGCATATGACTGAAGTGCAGTGAGGCCAGCTCTTAAGAGGGGAGCAGCTTTCGCTTGCCTGCTCTTGGGATCCAGCCATTACATTGTGAGGAAGCCTAGACTGTCTACAAAAGAGGCACATCTGGAGAGAAATGGAGGTCCCTGGCTGATGGCACATGGAACCAACTCCTAGGCGATGTGAGGGAGACAACTTGGAAGCCAGTACCAGGGAGCTTTCCTAGAAGATACATGTCTATCAAGCATGAGTGGTTTCCTCTGAGCCCTACCAAAATGGAAGATCACCAGGGCAATAAAAGACTGCGTTTGTAGGTCACCAAATCAGAGGGACTCTGGTGCAGTGAAAAAGGTAGCCAGAATAGCAGAGCTTGGCCTGGTGGGGATGAAACTAAAAATTTTAGAGGTACCCATGGCGGACATTAATATTCAGTTGCCAGAGTTTTGCCCCATGAAAGGTTG